TACCTGGACATCTCGTTTCCCATATTTTCCCATGTTTTCATTTATTGTAATAATAATTAAAAGCTTTTTATGTTATACGGGGTGCTTACAAGGGACATTAAACTTAATTGTAGACAGCAGTTTCTAGTTACAATCTGCACAGGAAACAAGATCACACTTATTATGAGTAGTTAAATGGGAAAAATCTGTAGAAACAGCTGTTGGTGCTGTGAATTGTTTACTTGGGTCTTACCCAGCCACCTGTAGAGGGACAACAAAGCCCTCTCGACACAGAGTGGAGCTGAATGTCTTCTATTTTTTCTTAGGGAAATTCTCTATATTTATTCTTTATTCCAAAGACATGACAACATTATTCTTGGAATGAATTTCCATATACCTCAAAATTCGCAGCTCTTTCAAGACATATAGCCCTTGTGAATGAATCACTGACAGAGAGACAGAGTAAAGCTGAGCTGAGAGCTTTGTTTTCAAAAAAGTACTCCCTCGAGACAGCAAAAATGAAAGTCAAACATCTTCTACAGCAAATAGCTTGGTAAAGAAGAAAGTCATGAAACTGAAAAATACAGCTCAAGACTTCAGTGCTCATCTAATTCTGTCCAGAGTTCCGCACGCAGAGAGGAGTCAACCCATGCCGCAGCACAGGCTGAAGGCCAGTTGGCTGAAAGCAGCTTAGCGGAAAATGACTTGGGGTTTCTGGTAGGCAAGGTGCCCGTGAGCCAGCAAGGTGCCCTGGCAGCAAAGGTGGTCAACAGCACCCTGGGCTCCGTGAGGAAGAGCACTGCCAGCAGGCTGAGGGAGGCGACTCTTCTTTGCACGGCACTGGTGAGGCACATCTGGAGTGCTGGTTCCAGTTCTGGGCTCTCCAGTGCAAGAGAGAGATGGGCATGCTGGAGAGTCCAGTGCAGGGTCTCAAATATGTTTAAGGTTTTGGAGCATCTGGCATGCGAGGAGAAGCTGAGAGATCTGGGATGGTTCATCACGAAGAAGGCTGACTCGTCTTAGTGCTGCCCGGTGACAAGACAACAGGCAATAGGCACAAACTGGAATATGAGAAATTGTGTTTAAGCATGATTAAGAATGTTTTATTGTAAAGGTGACCCAACACTGGAACAGGTTGCCCAGAGAGGGTGTGGAGTCTCCATCCTCAGAGACATTCAGAACTCCAGAGGGCAAGGTCCCGAGCAGCTTGCTCTAGGTGACCCTGATTTGAGGACTAGGTGTATCTCCAAACATTCCGGCTGCCCTCAACCGTTGTGTGTTCTTTGAAATGGATTGCAATGGTGTAACTTAATCATCACTTTTTGCCTTGTGTTGTCTCTCTACACATCAGAAATTTTATGAGCTTTCCAGACTAGCAGATACAGACTGAAAAGCAGGCAAGGTCGCTGAGTGTTTATGTTCTATTCACACTGTGAATTACAAAGTGCCCTACAAGACAAGTTTTCTTTCATTTTCTGTTTACCATGTTTTTACTGGCAGATAAGCTGAAACACATGTATTTGTAAGTATTCCAAAATAAACATGCACAATACTAACTTTATAAATGCTATCGTGGAACTAGAAGTGTATTTAGCAATGAAAATAATCAAAGGATTATCAAAGGAGATAATCCTTTATCAAAGGAGATAAAAAATAAATTGCACCTTCAGAGTGGCCCACATATGTGCTAAAATTCCAGAAGCCAAACGAGATGTTTTGGCATGTGTTTGCTGACAGAGTAGCATTCTTCACCATGAATTACAGCTTCTCATATTTTTAATCCAAGGAGGGGGTTTTGTTCTTTCCAAAAGTTCTGAAGTTTTTCAAAGCACATCAGTGATCTCAGCTACGTTGTTTGCAAGACACACTGAAATAAAGCTAAACCTTTTAGCTGCAGTTTGACTGACAGAGTGGGAACTTCAGAGCTCGAAAACAGTTACAAATCCTCCAGAAGCAGCGGTAACTTCAAGACCAATGAACAGTTAATATCAGCTTCCCTTTTAGAAGCGGTACCTTTCAGTACCACCGATCTTTAGCAAGACAATGCCAAATTTACTGGAGAAAAAAAAAAAAAAAAAAGAAAGAAAAGAGTGTTTCTGCAAAGTTTCAAGAAAACTCAAATTATTTTATTCACAAAAGCAGAAGTCAATAAAAATATAGATATCCTGATCAGTTTTACAGACCACGTTCACTTCTCTCTTTCACTGACAGGCCAAGCATCATGAAAAAAAATAGTAACAAGCATTTACATCACAAACCATTATTAACACAGATTCATGTATATGAGCAAATGTTTTAAAGTTTTTGCATATAATTATAAATACAAATAAAATTACAGCTCCAACAAAACATTCCAAGAAAAACAGTGCTCTTGTTTTTTCCTTTTTGTTTCTGTGCTGTACTGTGTTTCAGTGGTCAAGAGTATGTGCTGTCTCACTGGCATTTAACAAATAGTTTTTGGTTTAAACTGAAATTTAGCATGAGCTCACTGCACTCCTTAAAGTGTTTCTTTGTTGTTTTTTTTTAATTCCAAACCCCCTTATAGATCAAATTAAGATGTTTGTGCTAGATTACTCAAGTGATGCCAAAAAAAAAGGTCCACATTGCTACTAATAGCATCAGGAAGGTTTTTAAACTACGGAGCACCCCCACAAAAGTAACTGGAGATATCCTTGTTGTTCAAATCAAACCTCTATCAGGCTCAGTGTTTACACATGAAACTTGGAGCCAAATCTTTACTCTTTTGTAGACTTAAATTCTCCCTAGAAATCACAAGTGAGTTTTGTGAAATTTATACAAGTCTGGCTTTCAGGACCATGATGGAAGACAACTGAGATTAAGGAACAAGTCCAGTCAGTTCTGTTTCCGTTTGTTTTGTTGTTGGTTTTTTTTTGTTTTGTTTTGTTGTTTGTTTTTTTTTTTAAATTCAGGTAGTAAGACTAAACCCACACGTGGAAAAATCGTCATCAAGATAACCAGATGAAGTGCCAATTTTATTTTTTTATTCTGCTTTTATGCCTTTTAACTTTGGAGAGATGAAGAATTTGTGACCTCTTCCATCATAAAGATAAACGTTGACAAAAATGTTTTTAAAAAACATTACAAAATTATAAACCAAAATTATTCGAAAACAAAAAAAACAAACAGAAAATGCTGTCATTTTTCAAAAAGCAAGTACTGAACTAGGAGGACAAAACACTGAGAAACTGACTTTAAGGAAGGGTTGTCTTGCACAGAAAACAACTCCAAACCCGTAATGATTACTGCCATAATTCTGATGATCAATACAATAATATTTCAGGTTACCTGCATGCAGAGTGCTTCCTGACTCTGCCTACCTAAACTCTGGGAGCATCACAACTGGGAGAGAGTTCGCTCTGCTTTAAAAAAAAAACCAGAACATCCATTTTCATATATAAACAATTCTTGCTACATAAGAGCTACGAGAGATCATTTAGACCACTTGGCTCCTCAGGACATGACTAACTATACCTATATTATTTTTCATACCTTTATCTCCCATTCCTTAAAATATCCAGCAATATATCATTGAAAAGCAGGGACTCGTGCTTCATCCCGTCTACGCAAAGACAGTTGACAGCCAGAATTAAAAGCACTCGTTGCCAAAGGAAAGCCCTACCCTCTTCTTATTGCAGGCTGGATACTGAAGGTGGTGGGAGCTGTTGCAGCACAGATTTTCAACTGACACCCTGCAGAATGAGATCTAGGCTACAGTCCCACCGGCTCCAGTATGTCAGAGTTTCATACTTAATGTACAGAATATACAAAACAAGCTCACCGAGTACTATACACCAAAGAAAGAAAGAGTCGGAGTATTTTCAGCAAACTCAAATCCTCTTCTGAAGTTTTCTGCAACCGTGTGATTCTTGCAATTACATGACTACGCCTATCCGCAACTGGCACTGCCCCCAGCCTACCCCCTCTCTTCAACGTGGGATCACGGCAACAGGCGGCAACAGTGGGCACTGTCTCCTTTTACAAAAGCAGAAAGTGTACTTTACCAGTCATGATTACTTGGCATGACTCCAACACGAGCTTCAAAATACAGATATTTAATAGAAAATTTAAATTTAATTTTACAAAATACAGATACAACACTACCCAATGTAGCAAAATAATGGAATTGAAAAATAATTTCAAAATATTTAAAGCATTAGGTTCTAAAATAAATAATGCTATCTAAAAGAAGTGTTCAGGTTTTGCGATTAGGAGGGGGAGGCAGTTCTGCTATTACCAATCTCTTTTTCAACTTCTTTACAAGTTCCATAATTTATGTAGAAAAATAGACAAGAAAAGAATTTTGGGATAAAGAATATGTTGGGTATGTAACATTTGACATAAATAAAAAGCCTACAGCAAAACCAAAAAGAAAACCAATCATTTTATTTCTGTACATCATGACTACAAATAGTATTTTAACACTTCATTTATTACCCAAATTAAGAAATTATACATTTTTATACGATTACTAGTAAACATCTCAAAATGACTCATTTTCCCCACCTTTAAAAGGATATTGCTGGTTACTGCTTATTAAATATGAAATCCAACGGAGTTTCCAGTAACAGCAAAATAGTTTTTTGCATAAGAGATGAGTACAAATTTGATTGTAAATTTTGATGATTTAAGATATAAAACTAAAGTTCAGAGGGATGCACTTATGAATCTTAAGTTTGAACTATAGTTCCTTTTTTAATTGGACTGCAGTTTGCATACGAATACCCAACAATGTGCCTACTGCTAGAGGATCAGTTCCTTCCATATGAAAGCAATTTTTTTCCCCAGATATCAAATTATATTAAGCAGCATATTCCCACCTACTCTTCTTAGCAGAAATACTGCAGGCAGATGGACATAAAAGCTGTTTAATCACAAAAAAATAATGAATTTGACTAGTGTCTACGGCACAGATATGGTATTTAAGATGAAAAGAAGTGATAGGGAAAAGGAATGTGAACACCACAGGCTTCAAATATAAAAGATAAAGCCTGATAACTTTGGTTCAAATAATTTTAATAGTTGTTACATGTATATTTTTCCAAAGTGATGACTTTTGTATGTACTGTTTATGCAATAGGAGTCTGATACATTAAAAAAAAAAATCTGTACAGGCACAAAGACAGAACAGAGGAAACATGGATAGTCACATCCATTTACGACAGTGTTCAAGTGATAACGACAGCCAAAGTTTGAACTTAAAATAATGCAAATCCGATTTCTCCAAGGTATTTCAGAAAGCACAAATGGAATATTATAAACGTTTTATCTCAGTGCCTACCATCTTAAGGGACGGTAGTATAAAACAAAATCAGTTCTGCAAAACTATGATTTGTAAACAATTCTACAACGTAAGTAAAGATGTTAGGTTATCAGTAATGAGCATTTTCATCCTCTCAGTTCTGGGATATCTGCAAACATCTGCTTCACTTCCATCTAAAAGATTAATTACAGGATGTTAGCCCTGTCTCATCCCAATGTGCTGCATGGTACACAACTTTATTGCCAGTTTGTGAAATTATTTATGTTTGAACAGCACAAAGCCAAAGCTTCATCTTTGGTTAATTTCACTGAGATGTCACTGTTCTTTAAAAGTCCTCTCTCTTCGCATAAACACAGAAAACAGCCACACTGCACACAGCATTCATTGTTTTGAATCATAAAGCAGTGTCAATGTAATATTAACTAATGAAAGCTAACTAAGAAATCGTGTTTTAAAATGAAACCTATTTGAGGACATTTGATAAGACACAAGAGCTGCAGAAATCTAGACAGAATTCCCTTAAAACTGCTTGGGTACGGGTGCTGCTTATAGAATAGGCACTGGTTAGTTCCTCTGCAGATCATCCAAATAAGCATCAGTTCGACTCAGCTTAGTTCAAATCCAGCAGCACATTCAATGGCATAAAGGAGCTTGCTTCGCATAAGATTTTCGTCATAAAACTCGGGAAGCTTCAGCAAGTTCATGCAGGTACTGGCAGTAGGTAGCCTGTCTAAATCAGATCCTCCATTGTGAATGCAAAATGCAGGATATAACTCCTGAAAAATGCAACAGGAAAACATGTATCAAAAAATACACAGAAGCCAAAACCTACCCTGTAACAGCTGGCACAGATTTCTAGAAATACATCAAAGTTTGTCACAATGTCATATTCAAATGTCACTTTCTTACATTCCTGGTGGCCCCAAAAAGCACTCTTGAATTGTGTAGTGCCTCCCTCTACCTTGGCCCCACCAAGATCCATTAATTTGCAAAACAGAAAGCAATTTATTTGGTTCTGAGGAAAAAAATAATAATTTGTTATTGTTCATACACTCTATTCTGCAAATTTACAATGCTCCAGAAACAGTGAAACACACAATGGAAAAAGTAGTACAGCAGCATGCAAGAAATTTTTGTTGCATTTGGGAGAAACAACTGGGAATCACAACTTCACTCTCCTTCCAAAGCCTCCCAAATGCCCGTGGATGCTGTTTATTCTGTAGGAGCGGGGAAAGGAAGGGT